GATAGTGCTGAGATATGTCGCTTATTTATTATCATTGTCTTTTCTATCTGTTAGTGTATCCTTTGTTTTTCTTTTCCTGACTTTTTTGGTGCTGTTTATCCATTGAGCTCACTAGTTTCTTCTTTTTTTTAAAGCTGTTTCCATTTTGTTATTTCTTTCAAGAATATTTTTAAGTATTTTCTTCATAGCTGGTTTAGAACTCATATGTTTTGAGCTGATCTTTTTTTTTTTTTTTTTGAAATACCTTGTTTTTCCATCTATTTTGAAGGATAGTATAAGTTAATCTGGCTAAGAGGCTGGGGATTTAGCTCAGTGGTGCCACTGCCTGCCTCGCAAGCTCAAGGTCCTGGGTTCTATCCCCGGTACCAAAAAAAAAAAATTAATCTGGGTTGGAAGTTATTTGCTTTTAGGGCTTTAAATACTTCACTCCAAGCTCTTCTGGCCTTTAGCGTTTGTGTTGAGAAGTCTCCCATGATTCTAATTGGTTTACCTTTATATGTGATATTTTGTTTTTCTCTGGCTGCTTTAAAAATTGTTTTGTTTTGCTGGATATCCAGTAATTTAATAAGGATAGGCCTTGGTGAACTTCTTTTATCATCATATTTATTTGGTATTCTATAAGTGTTGCTTACTTGTATTTTAAACTTTTTTCTTACATTTGGGAAATTTTCTTCTATGATTTCTGTGAACATGTTAGTAAATCCATCTGTGCTATCTTCTAGTTTTTCCTCTAAATCCACTTAGGTTTAGATTCATCTTATTGTGGTCTAGTAACTGCTGGATAGTCTTCTCTTGTTCTCTTATTTTCTTTTTGGCTTCCTTGAGCTCTTTATCATAATTCATATTTTGTCCTCAACATCAAACATTGTGCCTTCACATTGGTCACTTTTGCAATGTATGAATTTTATACTGTTTTTTATTTCAAGTATTTCTACCTGCCTGACATCTTTTCCAGATTCCATATCCTTGTTTAATCTATCATTCAAATTTTGAAAAACTATGGAACACTTCATGAATTGGCTTGTCATCCTTGCACAGGGGCCATGCTAATCTTCTCTGTATTTTTTGAATTTTAGTGTATGTGCTGTTGAAGTGAGCACTTTATTGCTTTTTCATTGGCCCACTTTTGGCCTATGGAAGCCCTCTTCAAGACCGGTCTTTAGTCCAGTGGAGATGTCCCTACTTTTCTTTGAATGCTTGCTTTCATTCTATCATAAAAAGATGTCCCAGACTCTTTTGTACCCTTCTCATCCCAGAACAGGAGTTAGCCTTTTTTTCTCATGAACCTGTCCGGCTGTCCATTTACTGCCTCCCTGCTGGAAATCCATGGCCTCTGGGTGCCTTGTATTCTGGAGCAGGACCTCGTAAACAAACACTGGAGTGAGCCTTGTCAATAGAGGGCACTGGAGGGACACTGTAGAAGCCCTTTCAGCCTGCTCATGCCTCCTCCCTCTTCTTGGTCCTAAAAGAAGGTTGCCTGCATTGCACCCACATCCATTGGCTTTCATGTTTCCTGCTCGCTCTTTAGCTTGTTTCCTGTTCAGCAGTCCTGCCTCACGGTATCCTGCTTGTCGGCCTGTAGAAAGTGTCCTGTTTGCCAACTTCAGCCCACCAGCTGTGGGCCCAGCCCTGACCCAGAATAACACAGGAAACTACTCTGCCATTCCCTGGGCTACAGCTGCACCCTTTCCAGGGAAGCATGAATCCCAGTTTTGAGAAGAAGGCCCCTTTGTGCAAACTGTTCCTTATTTGGGTACTTTGAACCCTATGGCATCATCAAAGTTGTCTTTTATTCTCTCTCATCAACCCCATTTCTAGCTGATAATGCTTTATATTTAAGTTTCCCTCCTCAATTACCGTTGTGTTTTCTGTCTGCTTAATGAACTCGATAGATAGAGAAGTGGTGTGGAGATGGTGTTTGAATCATATGACAGTTCAAAGATGAGATTTCAGGTTTAACTTAGTCACAGCCTTGGATTTATACACAGTGTGGAGCTACTGGACAGTGGGAAATGGGATGCCTATTCTACGGCACGTGGGGACAACACAGTTAAGCTGTCACCTGTGGTTGACTGTGAAGACATGCCACCTGAAGCAGTGTATTGGGAGCCCAGGGGGGCCGCTGCACTTGACCAATGGTGTCTAGAGGGACGATGGTGGTGGCCATCTCTCCTAGTCAGAAGAGTCTTCCTGGTATCACCCATGTAACTCACACTTGTGTTGGTGTAATATTTTCATAATTTTCATTTAAATTTGGATCCGTGGTCTATTTAGAGGTTATTTGGATGTATGGTCTAAATTACAAATGAAATTTTGTCTTTGTCCAGATGGTTACCTACCTCATTTATTAAAAAGTGCATCCTTCCCAAGTGCTCTTAGATGACACCTTTATTGTCCAGTGATTTCCACATATACTTGGAAGTAATTCTGGATGTACTGCTCCCTTCTGCAGGTCTGTCTATTCATGTGCCAGTACCACAATGTTTTTATTAGAGAGTTTTTATTTCTAGTGGTTTTGATATTCATTAGGGCTAGTCCTGCCTTATTTCTGGCTTTTAAAAAAATTTTTCCTTCATACTCTTGAATGCTTATTTTTCCACATGAACTTGAGAATTGGCTTGTATAGCTTCAGGGAATGTTTACTTTTTAATTGGAATAATATTACATGTATATATTACTTGAAGAAGACCTGGCATCTTTATGGTGTTGAATAGTCTCACACAAAAACAAATGCTAACTTTCTATTTGTTCAAGGTTTTTTTTTGGCTTACAAGAATGTTTTATAGTTTTCCTAGTACAGTTTTTGTACATGTCCTATCAAGTATTTCATTTTTTTGTTTCAATATTAAGGACATATATCTCCAAATAGTTTCAGCTTTTAGTGTTTTAGGTAAATTTTACATGATAGCACCTTACTCAACTTAGTGTTTGTTATCTTCACTATTGATTCTGTTTGCCAAATATAATACTATATAATTTACATGTAATTTAATTATTTCTCAAGCCTTATGAATCTAAAAGTTTATTATCTTATTATCAGTTTCTATCTATAATATGGTACTAAAATAGTGAAAAATAGAGGACATTCTTGCTTGATCTTCATGGGAATGATTCTAATGTTTCTCTGTTAAGTATGAGGCTGATTTGGGGCCCAAAGTATAAAATATTTCACTATGTTAAGGATTCCCATTTTTTCCCCATTCCATTAGGAATGAATGTTGAAGTTTGTCACAGGCTATGTTACATTTTGAAATTTCCACACAAGATTACTGATTTACTGAGGTTTGACTTATACTTTTTCTACTTTATGGTGATATGAAAATGATACAGATTATGATGGAACTCATGGTTTGAATTTGGATCTCTTCTGGTGACTGTTATAGGTAATACAATACTTTCTCCTGAGGCCTGAGGCTGGGCAGTGGCAGGAGCCACAGCAACCAGTCAGTGATGTGGTCAGAAGGGATCAACTGACTCTGCAGTGCACTGCATTGCTAAGTTGTGATGTTTGGTATTAGGTATATCGAATGCATTTTGACTTAACAATAGTTTCAATTTACAGTGGATTTGTCTGAATGCAACTCTGTCATAAGTCACAGAGCATGTGTATTTCATTTTCAAAGAAAATCATCCAAGTTTTGTAGGTTTTTCATTTAATTTGGATAGAACTGTGCAAAGTAGTCTTTATTGACCTTTAATATGTCCTAAGTTTCATTGGTAATTTTCTTGTTTTATAAAAAATTTTTTCTACCCTTTTTCTTCATTAGATTGGTTAGTGGTTTATCTATTTTGTTGTTGATCTTGTTTCCTTCCATTTTACTTTTCTTTACTTTATAGCTCTTTTCTAATTTTTAAGATGGAAACTTAATTTATTTACTTTCATTCTTTTACTTTGTTGTTGTAGGAACTTAAGGTTATAAGTTTTCCTTTGGTCACATGTTTAACTGTATTCATATTTTTGTTATTTCTTCTGTGAACATTCACAATTTAACTTTTTTTGTCCTTTTACCCCAAGGGAAAATAGAGAATTCTAAAATTTCTTAAAGGGATATTTAGAAAAAGTAGAAGAGCAAGACATGGGATTGAAGATTGTTCCACTTCAATCTTCCAGAAAGTTTAAGTTTACATGAAATTGAGTATTTTATCACCTGAGACATTTAAATATTTTCTATTACAAGAGGACTATTTGTTTCTTTTCTGAGGGTGATAAGAACAGTTATAGGACCTACCCAAGTCTTCACCAAGGGCAAGAAACCAACAAGTTTACTGAACAAGATACCGGGCAGTGGTGAGAAACAATAAAATGGATTTGTGATTGCATCTAAGTTTTCACCAGTTTTTGTAATAGCTTTGTTAAAATTAGAAAAAGCCACTCCCTCTGGAGAATCCTGAGTGGCTAGAAGAGCTCTAGTTGAATACCAACTCCCACTTGACGCTTGTTTCATCCGCTGAGAACTTCCACTCAACCAGAAACTGTACACTGGATCCTGCAGACACTATCTGCTCTCTACTAAGTGCAGCCTGTTGATTACCATGCTAATACTTTTTCTCATTGCAACACTATTGTGCTTTGGGTAATTTCTCCTAACTGGGATAAAATACCTGACACCTGCAACTTAAAGGAGGAGAGGTTTATTTTGGTTCACACTTTCACAAGTTTCAGTCCATGGTAGACAGGCTCAAATGCAGAAATGGCAAGGCAGAGGGGCCTGGCAGAGGAAAGCTGTTCACATCATGGTGGGCAGGAAGTGGAGAGAGAAGGAAGAATATACTCTTCCAGGTCATACCTGCAGTGATGCCTCCAACCAGACCCCACCTTCTACCAGCACAGTGAGATCTGAATGGATCTCTGGATTAATCCACTGATGAGCACAGTGCCCCATGATCCAGTCGCCTTGCAAAAGCCCTGCCTCAGAGGACAGAGGCCTTTGAAAGACACCCCACATTTAAACTATAACATATGAGAGACCAAAAGAGAAACACAATTGGCACCACCAAACTCTTCATTCCCGTCCAGATTTAAGGTTTATTCACACCAACAAAATAATCACAACAAAATATACACTAGTTTAAAAAAAAAGATTATAGTGACATAAAATGTTATAGTTTCTCTTATAAGTGTGTAAAAGTATTTTGTTTGCCTCTACATACATTTCTATTCATAAAAGAATAAGAAACATTAAAATTCAGTGATGGCTTACTTTTCTGCTATGGAAAAAACACAGACAAAATGCTAAAGCTTTTAGGCTACAAGGCTGTTACCACAAAGCAACAAATTAATGATTGAAAACATTAATTTCCAAAGCCACATACATACACATTCACCTGCTAAATAAGCATTTCATATTCTTTCTTGATTCTCTATAATGCCTTTTTTTCCTTTTACTAAAAGCAAAGTAAGAAACTATATTTTCTTTTCTCTTTTTAATTGGCCTCAGAAGACACACTATCTAATTCATGAGAAACACGAATTTTCAGGTGTTCATCTTCCTCCTTACTCTTGGGGTCTTCATGGCTGGGGAACTCCTGGCTGTGGAGTTCCTGGCTGGCTCTGGCACCTTCCTGACTGTCGATCACATCAGAGTGCTCACTGCTGTCGTTGCGGGCCTTCCGCTTGTGCTCTCTGGACTGCTCTTGGCTGTGGGTCTCCACACTTGGGTCATCCAGCTGACTGGACTCATGACTGTCCTTGCCACGGCTGTCCCAGTCAGAGGGCATGTTCAGGCGGTGAGCAACGAGGACGGCCTTTTGTGCATCACTGGACTCCTGGCTTTCCACATTCGAGGTGAGGTCCTTGTCTGTAGCAGCAGGGTACTGAATAAAACGGAAGAAGCATCACATGAACAGCTAGCAATGGAGACATTACACTTCTTTTTTGATCTCTAACTTTCAGGGCAAATAATATTGAATACTGTCTAAATTTGGCTGAGGAAAAAAATAGTGTCAGCATGTACAGTACTTTGTGCTTTACTAATATCCCATTCATATAAGCTATCTGGTTTAGCATGTACATCACTTTTATATGTAATGAAAACTATGAAATAGGTCTCATTATCTCTAATTTACATAAAGAGAAAATAAATTAAAAGTTAAAATGTAAAGTGGATGGAAAATGGCAAGACTGGGTAGAATCCAGATCCTTTGCCTCTAGGTTCAGGATAGTTTGTGACTCTATAAATCCTCTTACGTATTTAGCTTCAAAACATGATTATTATAGTTTGCAAATAACTGTTTTCTCAAACTCTTTTCTTTTTTTTCTATGAAATTGTAAGTATAATGCTTTAGAGTCAGGGCTTAGAAAAATAAAATTCTGTTTGAGACACAAAATTAGGAAGAAATTATGTGGACTTAAACAAAAACAAGTAGAATAAGCTTTTGTATTAGGTAGCCATTAAGTAGATTGTTAATAAATGCCTATCTAGTTGCTGAATGACAGATGAATATGAAGGCCAGTTTCCTAGAATTAAGCTCTAGTCATAACCCCTAGGTATGTTTGTTAAGGGATTTACCTGGGGGTCAGAAATGTGGAACTTCTTGGACCTTGACCTCAGTCCATAAGCTAGACTGTCGCCTCGGCCATCATATGTTTCTACAGTGGGAACAATGGGAGTGAAAACTGGGGTTTCGGGACCATTAGTGGGAGCATCAGTGACCACTTCATCAGATTCATCAGAATGGTCAGATTCATCGGAATGGTGAGAATCATCAGGATGATCGTCATCATCCACGTCAACGGAGTCCTGGTCTCCATCATCTTCATCATCTACATCATCCATGTGGTCGTGGCTTTCATTGGAGTTGCTTGGGAGGGTCTAATGATCAGAATGGCTACAAATTAGTGCCTGGGACTTTATTTTCCCTCATCTTTTATACTGTATTAGGCTTTTACTTTCTTTTTTTAATTCAGTTTCAGAATCTTTGCATTCACAGTATAATCCAAGGCTTTTCAGAGCTGATGCAAGGATCTTCTAATTTCCCTTTTACACAGGGATAAATGAAATAACACCTTGAAATAATCTTGGTTTCCAATAAAAAATCACTTTCATAGATATTTTCAAGTCAAATACATAACATTCATATGGACAGTATTGTTTTTCTTTGTACATACCACACATTATTCAGTTTAGTAAGTTTAATGATAGATACAAATACACGCTTGTGAGATTGATTTTTCTATTTGAAATGAAAATCCTGAAGATATCAGAACATACATATTGTATTGTGTGTACTAAAACCTATAAACATTTCCCTATATTATTATAAGTAAGCAAAAGGTGACTGGTAGGCATATGTGTATACAGTGCAGCTCAAATTACTCCTTTTTTTTTTTTTGGTACCAGGGATCGAACTCAGGTCCTTCCACTTGTGAGGCAGGCAGCGGAACCACTGAGCTAAATCCCCGGCCCTCAAACTTCTCCATTGAAGTAACCAATTAAGTTTCACTAAACTTCAAGCCAGCAAATATAATGGGTCATTTATCTAATTTTCCTTATTAGACATACATAGCAAAATTGATTCTTAAAGAAAATAAATTTATCTCTTTGCTCAACAAATATATTATTGGTCCTAATATAAAGAATACTTACTAAATTATTGTTAGGACCAAAAACACTCCGGGGTCAAAATTTTGACTTTTGTAGGATTAATGATATGCTTATAAGATATTAGATGTTTTGAAAATACGTTAAATGAATTGCAAGAGGCTTAATGTTTTGAATAGCAGGCATTAGTCAACATTAACTACAACACTAAGCTTATCCAAACAAGCCTTGTATTTCTGGCATTTAGTAAGTACATGTTTTAGACTGACAATTTGCTGGAAAACTCGCTAATGGAATTCATCAGAAGAGAACCCAAGCAGTGGCTTTCTCCGGGTCTCTCATGATGGGTCTTTGAATTAAAGTAAGTACTTACCTCTTGTTTCAAGTCATCAGTTTCTTCAGAGGAAACAGAGTTCTGGAAAAAGAAGGACATCATTAGTGTACATCATACATACCGAGTTTTGGTTCAAAAGTGTGTCTTTTAAATCCAAAGCTGGCATTATTTTTTAAGCCATTGGTGGACAGCTTAATAAGGGAGAAGCTCTCATGGCAGATCTACTGGTGTCCTCAACACACTTACCAAGAGGGGAAGAATCCATGACACCAGTCAGCTTGCATGGTAGCTGTCTATCATGGTAGTTGGAAAGAAATCTGAAAATACCTGTGGTGCTAGAAGATTCTGCTTCTGGGATGGGTCAGGCTTTAACCATGAGGACACAGCTTCAGGGAGTTTGTTGTAGAGCTATAGAAAAAACAATCACATATTTGTCACTTTTAAGAAAAAAACAGGAATCTCAAAGTTATAAGCTGGAAAAAGAAGTATATTTTGCCAACCCTGCTGCAGAAGCACAATAGGTCAGAATTTTAGAAACTCTTTTATCATTTATTTTTTTCTTGAAGTTTCATTTACTGAATTCTTAATACCGCTTACCGTGGAGCAGGAATTCTTTTGAGGTATTTTACAGATATTAGTTCTATCCCTCAATGGGAGAGGTATCAGTATTTCTCCAGCTTACCAATCGGAAAACATAGCCTCAATGTACTTAATTGTTGACAAGTGACACAGGCAGGGTTCAAACCTGGGCACCCTGGCTCTCACCTCAGATTCTCACCCTGCTTCCTGTTCTACTTTTGCTAGCTGAAATTTCCTCTCAGTAAAGCCCCCCTAACACATCTTTTCCTTTCCACCGAACAAAGAGAAACTTTAGGGTAGTGCTGTCTAATGTGGTATCCTTAGCCACGTGTAGCTATTTAAATGTAAGTTAATTAAAATTAAAACAAAATAAAACAAAAACATCAAGTGCCTCAGCAGCACTGGTCATATTGTGGGTACTCCAATGGCACATCTGTCTAGTGGCTGTCATACTGGACAGTGAGAAATACAGTATCAACATCATGGCACACAAGTTCTTTGCATGATGGTACTGAAGATGTAAACACAGTGGCCTTTGCTTTAGTAGGTTAGTGCTCTGGAAAATACTAACAATGTGCTCACACAAAGACGTGGAAATTACTCTGAACAAATGTCATCTGGTAGGTAACTGTCCAGGCCAATCATGTCCCAGCCCAGTTGCTGAGCATGGGAACCCTAGCAGTTTCACACAGTCCCCTCCATAGCTGCCTGGGAGGGACACAGAGGGTGGATGAGCAGAAGTGACACCTAGCTGTCTCTCCTGGCTGGTTTTCAATGGAGCACATGGAACACTAGATACAGGCTCATGAAGACAGTGTTTTAGGTTAAACTTATAATTTAAAAGTAAGATGAAGAAAATATGGATTAGCAAAATGAACAGAATGAAACATTTTTAGGAACTCTAACAGAGCACAGCTCATCAGGTGGGTATCCTTCTAGAAATTCCCATATTTCCTACTGCTCTAAATCTCTGGCACTCTAGAAGAGTGAGCTTTGAACTCTTCATATGTCTCCCATTAGCACTGAATGACCTTACTGTCATGGCTGCATGTGTAAAAGTATAAATAAAAAGCAAAATAAAGGATAGATAATGGGAAGTAGGGAGATAGCTCTTTCTCAAAGGGGGAGGGGACCAGGAGATGGAGGGAGGGGAAGGGGATGGAAAAAGGAATTAAGATGTGTTATGTGCAAGTTCCAACTCCACGCAAGGAATGTAAACATTATGCAGTGCCAACATGCACAAAGAAAAACAAAAGAAAAGGATCAAGACATAGGTGGAGGGGGAGGGAAAGAAGGGAAAGGGGATGAAAAGGGAATTAAGATGTGTTATGTCCATGTACCAACTCCACGCAAGGAAACATTTTTCTATTGCAAACATGGACTGATAAAAATACATAAAAAATGCATCCTTGCCATACTTTATTCCACTTAAGCTGCACTCATTCTTGCCTCTACTATGGTTCCTATCTTCTTGAGAATGTTCCTTTCTCTGGCTTGTTATTGTGATTCACCACCTGTGTTCCAAATCAATTGGAAAACAGACACACGCCCACACCCACGCACACACCAGACACACACAGGTCACACACTTGCTCACAGAATACCTCTCCTGCTGTTTCATTAAGCAACTCGTGACCCTAGGCAACTCTAGACTGGCCTTTATTCTGCTTCTCTGGAATCAAACTCTGTGTGGCTCTTTTGTCTAAGCTCTAGGGACAAGGCTCATTTGTTTTGTGGTTGGCCTGGTTTCATGTATTGTGGAGGGGCAGGTACATCTATGGTGCTGCTCGAATAATTGTAATAAAGAATTTGATTTGGTCTTTTGCTTGGTTAGGAAAATGTGATCTCAAGTCAGCTGATAAGCACAATAGATGCAAACAGCATAGACTTTCTTTTCACAAGGGCTTTTTAGCAAATATCTTAGGCGATATTGTGAGCATTATGGTCATACAAGCCATTCTGATCAACAGCTGAGGTATATTTTAAACTCAGCTTTTCTCTAAATACATCAGAGGATGGAATTTTTTGCTTCTAGAATAGCATGTTGATTCATGAAAAGAAACAGTCACAAATTCATACAACTTATTTTATGTAAGTGACAGTGGTCTAGGACATTATTTTATTATATTAAAAGGCCTAAGTTGGGCTCAGTGGTACACACCTATAATGCCAGCATTTTGGGAGGCTGAGGCAGGAGGACTGCACGTTTGAGCCCACCCTGGGCAAGAGACTTAACAAGACCCTGTCTCAAAATTTAAAAAACCACAAAAGATCTGGGTATGTAGCTCAATGTAAATGGCCTGGATTCAATCCTCAGTCATACACACACACACACACACACACACACACACACACACACACAGAATTTAGCTTTAAGAGAGTGTATTTATCAAAAACTAAACTGTATTTGGTACTATCATAGATCTATAGCAGGCAGTCAGTAAATACTTAGAAATTAACAGTCCTGATTGTGAAAGATAATTAAAATTACAGTAGATTTTATAGCACCTTTAGCAATAGATGCATAAATAATTTTAACTGTCTAGTGAATTTAAGAGATGCTTACCGGCTTTTCCTCAGAGCTGCCAGAATCAGCCTGATTAACCTTTGAAACAGAAAAGATGAAGAAAAATTGCAATGTGAATGTGTTCCCCACACATAAGTCATGTATTTTCCAGAATTTTCTTTACAATTCAGCTGTACTCACTGGGAGGGAGTAGGTGATGCCTATAAGGCAAAAGCAAATCACGGCAATCCTCATGGCGGTGACTTCCTGAAAAATATTTGTAAGGAACACTTGTCATCCTCAGAGGTTAAAACATGCCTTTTGTATGCACTGCATCCGAAGAGAATCACAAGTAACGTACGTTCTATGGAATCATTTCTACTTCTTAGAGGAAACTTTTCTTTTTAACATTTTGGTCTTTCAAGTTAATATTTGTATTGCCACTCCTCCTTCCATCTTTGTTAGCAAAGGAGATGGGAATTTTATAAGTCTATATTTACTGACTCTGAAATTTAGAAGTCCCAGTATTATCTGATATCACTAGCTGTCCTAAAAACAAGTCAACAGTGATTTAATAATTAAAATAACAAACTTGTACGAGGGTTCTTATTTTCAGGGAAGAAAAACACATAGATAAAATTAAACTATGAAAGAAATTTGTCTTCTTCCTTTTGCCAACATACATTTCAAACAGGATTTTTATCTAAAATTAGGATGATTATACTTAGGTGAAATGAAGCTATCTTGGAAGTTATTTAAGCAGGGTACTGTAGGAATTTTAAATGGAAAAGAGAACATTGAGAACAGTCTATAGCTTTTCTCTTTGTGATAATGAGCCTATGCAGTGTCATACATTTTATCAGCTAAATCCAGAAGTAAGATACTGTATTCAGAAAGTGTTTTTTCCCCTTAAACATGAGATAAATTACAGCATTCAAAAAATAACATTATTATTGGCTTATATTACCATGAGAGAGCCTTTCAATTGCCTCCACAATCATATAGACATTTAAAATGATGCAGGAACAATCGTTTCAAAGCAATGTAGAATTTTACCTTTTTCTGATCAGAAGCAGTAGTTTTAGTTCTTTAGAACCCAGTGGAAGTATTTTTAAGTTTTATATTTGTCTGGATTTCAAAATACCTAGGAACCTGTGATCCAGAAGACCTGTGCTGCATCTGACCAGCTTATTCACGACTAGCACAATTCAAGTCTAATAGCTCTACAGTGGAAGTTATTTTCTTTACAGCTTAGACCGCCGCATGAGAACCAGCTGAGTGTGTCAGCGACAAGTCAGCCAAGGGCGGGCTTACCTTTGCTGATGTCTGGCTGAGAAGGCTGCAGCTACCCAGGATTTGGTGCCAGAGGATGCTTTCCTCCTGCTTCCTCTTGCTGCTGCTGACAGCCCAGGCCTGCCGGAATTTAAATGCTGCTCCAGATGCCCTCCACCAGCACAGGGAGGCGGGACACAGTCATGAGGTTTCTGCCATGCCCTGCCCACCTGCTCCCACACTTCCCTCTCTGGTTTTGTGGTTGAAAAGAAAAAACAACCTCAAATGTGCCCCCTCCTCCAGTCAAAACATTACTTATGCACAGTATCATTAACTAGATTTTCATTGAGGAGATTGGCATTCAGCATCCTGGAAGAGCATTTAGAGGCTCCATAAGAAACAAGAAGAAAGGAGCTTATCGTTCTTACCAAGATTTCAGTTGTATCTTATGATTAGGAGAAAATTATTATTTTTTTTGGTACTGGGGATGGAACTCAGGATCTTGTGCTTTTGAGGCAGGTGGTGGAACCACTGAGCTAAATCCCCAGCCCCGGAGAAAATTATTAATGTAAAGCAACCCTAAACACAATTAAATAGGATGAATTTTTTCCATTCAAGTTGAGAGCAAGGTCATATCTACAGCTACATCCACCTCAATGATTATATTAATTGAAGACTAGAAGGCTATTGTTCAGGCACACAATGAGTTCAGAAACCTCCCTTTCTCTTTGACTGCTTAATAGCTCAGTTTTGTGATTCCAAGTCTGTAACAGCTTTCCCTTTAGACAAATGGCATTAGTGACCTTGGGATTCCCATTCCTGGCTGTTCAGGTGGCATTCCAGTGACCTTTCAAAGACAGAAATCTTCCTGGCACTGTTTCAGTTGTTTGGAGGTGATGAATCACAGACCTATACATGTAAACTGTGCAACTGTAGAAAGCAGGAGAATGGTAGTTTACTCTAGAAGCTGCAGAGGCAGAAAGTGGTTTCTAACTAAGATCAGGATGCCTGCTGGAGGGCAAAGCTTCTGGAATTTGATGGTGGCTTTCAGTCCCACTCTCACTAATGACCTGTGTGACCTTGGGCAAATCATGTCACCTGCCTGCACTTATTTCCTCATCTGTAAAATGCATATACTTTTACTCAGCTCACAAAGGTTGTTGAGAAGCTTATCCAGCAAACAATATATACTTGGCATTGGGGTTGGAGATTTAGCTCAGTGGTTCCACCTCCTGCCTCAAAAGCACAAGGTTCTGAGTTCTATCCCTGGTACCAAAAAAAAAAAAAAAACCTGGAGATTTGGCTCAGTGGTTCCGCTGCCTGCCTCACAAGCATAAGGTCCTGAGTTCGATCTCCAGTACCAAAATATATATATATTTGGAATATTCAGTATTAGATACAAATACCCTAAATAGTTTAAGGACCATATGTGTGTGTTAATTGTTGCTGAAGTTTTTAGCAGGAGCAGATGATCATGATTTGTTATGTCTTTAAATAGAATAGGTTATTATGAGGAGAGGAGATGTAATTGTGTATATTAAAGAGTAATTCGCACCTCTAAAGGAGCAGACTCTATTTTTGACTTGTCTTTTTCTAGTTTTTCTCCAAGGATATATACATTTGGCTATTCATTGAGAAAAAAAGTTAATGCCTACAAAAGAAACCCTGTACTAAATATTTAAAAGGTATATAAATGAGAGAAAAATTACAGGGGAAGTCTGAATATCAGAGCAGAATTCAGGGGTTGCAGAATTCTGGGACCATTTTAAATATTTAATTTTACCTTAAGATTATTTACTTTCTTCATTTACCTTTTTTCAGCTGTGAAATGTATATCACGCTATTTATTTACCTTTTGTAAGACTTGTGAATTAAGATTAAAGATAATTGGTCCTACTATTACACTAGTTCTAAGGTGTCAGTTTTATTTGCCAAATATTGCTTTTAGTGTAAATACAGAGTAAATGATTCTCTACATTGTTGGTAGTATATTTAATTATAGGTTTTATGAATATTGGGTGGGGGGAATTTGTCTCTCTTTTGAGTTGCACATATTCTAAATGAATTGATATTATTGATTTGTAGGTTATTAGCACACACTGTATTAAAATAGAAACTATTTCTCTAAAATTTAAAACACAGAGGTTGTAAAGTTAACAAAGCTGACTTCTGCCTTTAAAACCTTTCTTTTTCCTTTAAACATATTACCACATAAGCTTGTCATGTTTTTAATTTAGTGGAGGGAAGCCCACAAGGTCTAAAAAGAAGATTTCCACAGGATTCATGTCGTTTACCCTGTGCCCACGGGAATGACTCAGTGTGAAATTAGAGTTTTGGGAGTCGACCTCGCTGGAGCCCAGGGATCTTGTGAACCACGATCCTTCAAGGAACTCTTCTGGTCATAGCTCCGAAGTGCCACATGGTGGCAGCACTTCTGAAAGGGATTTCAGACAATCTAAATCTGGACATTTTCTGATTCCAGTAGGGTACAACATCTATGTATTTAACTACAAAAGGCTCAACAGGGCTGTGGAATCCTCCATTTCTTGGAATTCCAGGTGAGGAAGTATTTCCCAAGAATGACCCGCTACGCAATCAGGGACAGAGACCAAGACCACCAAAGTATTCTTGCTCTGCTCTGTCGATGCCCTCAGCAATCCCAGGGCGATGCTATTGTCTCCTTCACAGCTTCCTACACTCATTCAAAAGGTTACAAACACAGAGGTCTCACTCGGAGTCCAGCCTCGTCAATTCATGGTTAAGGAATGTGTCTCAAGCACTTCAGAGTTGAGAAGATGAAGTGCTCTGTAAGGGCGGCACTTCTGCAAAGGGAGGACAAGACAGTGTGTCCTTCTGACCGTGGGGAAGGCTCTGGCTCCTTGCTTTTTGTATTCGAATATGCTGCTGACATCTTTTCTGAGTACGATTTTCCAATTGTCAGAACCCATGTGTTCAACAATTTAAACCAGAGGTACTCTTGCGTCATGATTAGGCTAATGGTTGGTTGCTAGAATGAAAAAGCCAAAATGTCCGAATTCCTTATAAATCTTGAATATGAGAATACTTTCATCGTTAAACTGGTATGCGAGGAGTGATTTGTGATCTTAAAACACGGACACCATAAAGAGACATATGGAAACATAAAAACAATATTTAAAATTTCCACATAAGAAAACTTAGTGTCCAAATGTGACTTAAATTTTTGGACAACTCTATTATATTTATTTTTAGTTTATTTGGACATTTCAAATTATATTCTACTTAGTAAGATGTAACTATTTCAACTTTATAAATAATTTTTCCTCAGATTTACAGCTCAGGTATGCCTCTGATTACCTTGGCAACACCACTACTAACCTGTCATAGAGAAGTTGTGAATTAAGCTAATCAGAAACTAAATGTGATATTCATTAGGGAAAGTCTCAGGAAAGGTCTTATTGATCAGAGGGAAGGAACAAAGGTAGAGGATCAGAGGGAGCTAGGTCAAGTTCAGGGATGAAGTTAGAACATTTCAGAAATGCAAAAAAGAAATATCATTGGACCTTTTATCCTATTGCTCAATAATGTAGACAGCACCATTCAGCTCCTGAAAAAGTGATCTTATCATTTACAAACACTGATTTCCACTTAAATGAAAAAAAAATTCACTTTAGACCCAAAGAATTGCTACAGAATAAATAAGCACAGCTATTCCTTGTTTAACCATCAAGTTATGCACCTGGAATTAGGTTGTTAACTGAATTGGTCGCTAAATTAGAAGTGTATGTATATAATATGTACCTCACAATAGTCAGAACAAAGAGATGGTCAAAGGAAACTTCAACTTGATGGCTTTGCTTTTATTTACATAACTCTTACATGCAGTACTGTAATGTATAACAGAACATAAAACTACAGTACTGTAAAGTAAAATCTATACAGTACTGTATAAACAAGGTGTACTGTACAAGAAAAAGATATTGAGGCTCTGTAAACAAGATGAACAGAACTGTACAAAAAAGAAAGTCTGAGCCGTGGGCCATAAACCCAGTCATTAAATAGGTAGGCCATTAACCAAGGAATAGCTGTACTCAATAAATTATTAGTTACCCACTCAGTTCTCCATCTATAACAATAATTTCTGTCCATATAGTTTTGCTTATGAATACAATGTATAGATGCTATGCTTGAATCTGTAATAATAGCCTATGTATTTATATCTAATGTTTCCCAGTACTCAAGATTCTATTCTTTTCTCCCTTCTTTTTTTGCTGGGGATTGAGCCTAGAGTCTCATGCAATACACAAGGTACACATCTAGCACCAGCATTAAAAAAGAATTAAAGCATTATTACTATCTCTGAGAGTACTCCAACACTCTTTAAATGATAAAGTCTTTAAAATGGGCTTAAAATGTTAATTTTTAAAAAAATGACACCATATGAAAATCAACTAAGAAATTTAAAACTTATGTTGCCAGTGATATTAAGCCATTGAGTTTCTGGGCTAAGCAGGAAACTGTGGGGTGTTGACAGAAAAGGTATGTAGTAGAGACCCTGTGTCTGCTTTGGAGCTGCAGAGCATTATGGGATTGGGCTCAGTTAGGAAGTCCCCCTTCCATGCTACAGCCATCACAGCGGCATTGAACTCTACCCTTGTAACAACCAGGGGAATAATATAGAGAGAGGCCTATAATCAAAGAGGGAGGTAGGAGCTGCAGAAAAATAACAACAGAAAATATAGCAACTGTAGACCTTGTTTTTACTGAAAGAACATTTTGTGGAAGTAAGTTACAACAACGAGGATTTTGCAGAATGTCTTTGAGGGAAAAGAAACATTCTTTGAAATTAATTCATGAGGATTGTTATTGAAAATTTTTGTTAGAGGATCCATTATAAAGTTGAAATGAAAAGGGGACAATTGGGCTTGGAATGTAGTTAGTGGTAGAGCACTTACCTAGATGAGTGAGTCCATACCACCGAAAAAGGTGACCATTTTAGTGCAGAACAGAAAAGACAATCAAAAGAAAAAAGGCAAAAACTAGGAAATACATAGCTAAATTGAACATTTTACTAGCCATACTTGGCTAAGATGTTTTGGTTGTTTGCCAATTTTTAGCAAGGAATAATTTACATTAATATCCCTATCCCATGGCATAACATTTATGTTTTAAAAATATATAAAATCTTCTGTAATTAAAATTCAATTCCTTCTTTAGTGTTTGAATTTCTCAATAGAAAGA